TTCTCCTGGCTACCTTCAGCACTAGAATTTTCAGTGCTGGATTAAGCATCTTTATTCTTCTTTCCTCTTTCCATAAGGTTATTTTTTAATGGTGTAAGCAGAGTTCATCACACTTAGCAAATAACCTTTAAATGAGATCTTGAGCACTTAAGTGCTCTTGATCCACCCTGAAGAACACCTCAGACCCAAGTGATGCTACTCTCATCTCAGGGCACACCCAGTGAATCGGAAGAAGAGCAGACCTCTCCTCCAGGCTCAGCACAGTGAGGCACAAACTACTCACGTTCATAGGAAAGCTGCAAGGCTCCCTTAAAATAAGCTCTATGTTGCCCTCATGTATGTATTAGAGAATCTCTTTAAGTTCCTCTTGCTAAAACCATGCAAGCCCATGGCAAGCACATTGTAAAAGCCAGTACGTGTGCCAAGCACTAACGGCTGCTACGGGGAACAGTCAGAAAAGTGCAGCTGAAGGCTAAGATGCTCAAAGCTGCCTTAATTATTAGAGCGTGAGCTTCCAAATCCCTCGAGAAGCACAGAAAACATTGGCCTTGGAATTTACGGTGTGCTCAGAGAAGCAGGAGCCAGGGAGTTCTGGGGACATCTTGACTGCAGTCTGCCTGGCTGGCTCTGCTGGACTTGGAATCAGTCCGATTCATTGCAGCAGCTCGGAATTCAGAGCAGAGGGAGCAGACAAGGCTCATTGCCTATTCCAGCCAGAAAGACTGCAACAACAGTTGTGGTTTTCTTTTTTCCCCTTTAAATAAGGTTACTTGAATGGACAGCCAGGAACAGACTCTCTGTCTGCTCATCCCCAGACTGAGCCCCACTGATAATTACGCACAAGCTAAGGCTTTGACTGAAGAAGCAGGGTCCCCATTAGCTACTAAAGCTCAGAGGGGAGAGCAGGGACCGTTCAGACCCTGCAAAGCACAGCTTTGGGATTTTTCTCCTCAATCACTAATGGTCCTGTTGGTTGGGCATCCGGGCCCAGAAGTGGGCAACAGATTCAGGTCCCTCCTGGGGAAAAGTACATTCCCATGCGAAGCAAATCCCTAGGTATATTGGTGCATCTGTTTGCAATGTGGAGTGCATCCCGCCTTGTTTCATGCTCTGCTCAAGGATTTATCCTCCCAGCAAGCCATCTCTGCCTTGTCCTCCAGGACTGTGTTTCAGCTTAAACATCAGCAATTTTCCCTGCCACAGGCGATCAGTGAAATTACCTGCCTGATTTCAGGCCAGGGGAGATAAGAGTGTGTTACGCTCTGTGAAACAACTCCAACAACTTGGTTGGTTTTGCACCTCTCAAGACTGAAGATGGACACTTCAGTGTGTCAGTGTGTGGAAGGAGACAGCCACTCCTTCCACTTTGCATCAGGCTGGAGGAGTGACTACTGGCAATGGCACTGACACTGAGTGTCCTCCATCAGCATCCAGCTCCAGTCACCTTCTCCTACCCCACGCTGCTGGGCTCTGTTTATTCGAAGTAATTGCAGGCAGATTTCCCTGTTGATCATAGGGATTTTGTTTGCTCAGGTGGATCCACTTGGAATATCAGTGTTTTTTACTGCTAAAAGCTGTGCATAGGTCTGTCCTGTGCAGATAAACCCCCAGGTCAGCCATGCCAGATAACTCTCTCTTGCTTCCCAGCTAAGGGACAAGGACTTACGGATGTCGGTGCTGTCTCTCCACCCCTGGGAGAGATGGGGACAGGGTTGGATGTTCTCCCACAGTGCCAGGGCTAGCAACTTTCTTCTAGAAGCCTGTAATCATCCTCATTTCTCTGAGCTATTGAAGCATTTGCACTGTTTCACAGCATCTTGAGTGGCAGCTGGAGGCAGCTCCAGGTTTGGGGAAGTCTGCAGGATCACTGCGGGATGTGATACCGGCAGGCACACCCCTGCCGAGCAGCAGAGGAGGGTTGTGCTCCTGCCTGCAGGTGGGCCAGTTCCTGGACATTGCCTTTCATTGGGAAAGAAACCCACAACAAATCAATTCTGTTCACATAAGACTTGAGCTGAACTTCAACCAACATCGAAGGATAAAGAAAAGCCAAGGGAAACAAAACCCTGTTGTGGCCCAGCCGTGGTTGAAGTTCATTCATTTTTTAAAGATTGTTTTTGCTTTTCTCTCTCTGGTTAAAAATGAGATTTGCAGAAAAGAGGAAGCATTATCAGCACACAAATATCTACCAGAAAAACTGCCCAAAGGAGAAGTGAAGGAGTTGACTTTCCCTATGGTGCACCCAACACAGGGCACAGTGTGGACATGGAGACCTGGACTGGAGTTTCATACTCCACCCCTGTAGTGGCAACATGTATCTGCAGCATCCATAAACTGAAGAAAAAACAGGCTCTTGGGTGGTATTTTGGTCCCTATGTCCCCCCTTGCAGATATGCCATCCCTCCAGCAGTATTTTCTCCCCCTAGCTTGTGATGGCACAGTAGCTGGAGCCATGGAAAACAAAGTCTGTCTCACTCACAATCACTTAGCAGGAGAGGGAATCCCATAATGGTTCAGCTCTCTTGCAGGGATGCAAAGGACCCACTGCTTTTCATTATCCACCCCTGCAGGAGTCCCAGGGTCAGAATACAGCCTTTCACATGAATCAGTCCTTGCCCGAAGGAGCTGCAGCCAGAGGAGACCAGAAGAGAGGAGAGTACTGATTCCCCGTCTCTGCCATCTCATTTCCATGCTGTCATGCCATCTGTGGGCTTTATTCCGGGAACTCCTCTCACATCCACGCCCATTATCAATTCTCTCTTGCCCATTCCCAGCACCCCAAGTCCTTCTGGTCACCCCTGGTCCTCGTCCTTCACCCGGCTTTATGATGCCTCTACCCACTTTTGCCGCACTCTGCCCGGCAGCATCTCAACACAAGAGCTGCAACCCAGGCAGCACAAGCCTGCTAGCAAAGAGAGCTTCCAAATGGGGATTGAGCTGCTATTAATTGATCCTATATTTGCTTTGAAAAGATGCCTGGGGATGGTACACCATTTCCCTTTCCAGTTAGACGCTTAAAAGCCACAGGCTTTCTTCTTTCTCAGAAACGTAAATCTGTGTTTATTTTGCATGTACCAAATTAATCCCCAAGGCATTGCATCCAACAGGATAAAATGAGAGCTCTGTCTTCACCAAAACACTTCAGGAGAAAGAGGACAGGGAGAAATACTGGACCTTTAGTTGAAGAAACACACCTATTTAGGAGCTTCATGGCTTATAAATGACTTGGTAACCTCAACAGTATTTACTTTGTCTTAAAGTGGGAAGGAAAGACCTAGAGCATCCATATTCATTTTAATTCCTATGAGTCTCTTTATAGGGTCTCATCATTCAGGTTGCTCTTATATACAAAATACTGATCTACCTGCAGCATGGGGCCACATTCTGTTCCCAGTTACAACTTGTGCAACTCTGCTGAAGTCAATTTACAAGGCAAACATTTAATTAGCAAGCAGGCTCACAATCCTAAATTTAAACATATGTCAAGCCAGCGAGTAGCTTTGTTTTAATTAACTCTCAAACTTTGTGGCTGTCATTTCTTTATATAAATGAGGATGCTCTGCCAAGGGCAGGCTGTAATCCTATGTGCATACCTACAAAACCGCCTGCTATTTCACAACCACTTTTCAAAGACCTCTTGCAGAGGCAAGGGGATGGGGATGTTATTATAAGGGTCCATATGGCAGCACACTGGCACTGCAGTATTAAATCAGAGCATTGTAGCTTTCCAGCCTTCATTCTCACAGTACCAGGTAACGTATATGTAGCCTCATTGTTGTACAATTTTAGGAGCTATGCATTATTCAACAGCAGCCAAAGTCTCTGCTCTGCCGGAGGTGATTCAGTGATGATAAAAGGAATACATTTTGCTCTAAAGGCAGAAGCAAAGGGATTTCATGGGTCAGTATCTTCTCCACCCACGAAGGAACAATGGAGGCATTAACATCTCTAGTAAAGAAATCAGCTGGCAGCAAAACCTCACTGATAATTAAAATAAAAGTACAAGCTGCCTCAACATGTAGTTAGTCTTGGGAACTGTAACCTGCTCTCAAATGCTTTCCTTGACAATTTGGCTCTAGCAGCAGGCACTGAAATCTGCTGGAAGATGCCATCTAGTGGGTTATGGAAGTTTATTTAAGTTTAAATCCACTTGGTGTGGGGCGAAGGTGGCAAGGGCTGCAGGTGTGGGGTGTGTAGAAATTTTTGTAAATTTCTATTGCTGTTATTCACATTTCCCTGCAGGAGTTTACACTGGAAGAGATAATATTTATTTCACTGGTCCCCCAGCAGGGCTCGGAGTTGTCACAGCTTTGCTGTTGACATTAGCCGAGCAGCACGGCCGTCCCCTGGCAGAGCATCTTCCCATCGCCAGAGCTGTTTGCTCTCCAGTTAAAGAATTCATCTGCTCCCTGGTTTTGAAAAAGCTGTACCAGTGTTGTTTCCTTCTTAAAACAGCCCCCACCATCCAGCGCATATACATTACCTAGTTTATGATACAGTAGAAACCACTTAATTGGGACTCCAGTGAACAGTGTTTCTTTATAATGGGAACCACTGCTGGGGAACTGATTGCAGCGATCCCGTCTGTCGGAAGGCCAGGCAATGAGATCTTCATCCATGGAGCACTGTGGACAGTAGCCTTGTTCCCCAGTGTGCCCATGGGGCGAGCTGCATCCCTTTGGGAAGCCCCTGCATCCCCTCCGCAGAACCAGGCTAGGTGCTGCTGCAATACATCGCTAATTGCTATGGGCATCGCTAATTGCTACGGGCATCGCTAATTGCATACCCTTTCAGGAGCAATTACCCACCTCGGTTACCCCCGCCCTCTCCCGCGGCGCCCACCCAGGCCCCCCGCGGGTGCCCCGGCATCATTCGAGAGCCGTAATTAATTAAAGACTCATTAAGGGAAACTCATTAGCGACGGGAATGCACGGGGTGAGAGAATGGGCGGAGCCTCCCTGCGGCGGTGGGCGGGGCTAAGGAGGCCACGCCTCCCCGCGAGCGCGGAGCGGAAGTGCCGGAGTTGCCGCCCGCTGCCGCCACCGTGCGCGGGGCAAAGTTGGGCTCCATCAGGGCGGCGGGGCCGGTCCGGGCCGCGCTCCCTCCTCCAGCTCCCGGCTCCAGCCTCCTCCGGCCGCTCCGATGCGGCGGAAGCAGAAGCGGTTGCTGCAGGCGGTGGGGCTGGCGCTGGCCGCCCTCGTCTTCTTACCCAACGTGGGGCTCTGGTCCCTCTACCGAGAGCGGCAGCTGGAGGGCGGCGGGGCAGCCGGCGGGGAAGGGGCTGCTGCTGCCGCCGCCGCCGCCTTCGCTGCGGGGCCGCCGGGGGTAGCGGCGGGCGAAGCGCCGGTGAGTGTCGGCGGTCGCGGGGTGTGGGTATGTGTGTATAGGGGGAGGTGGGTGCGGTGGGGGGCTGGGGGTGTCCCTCTGCCTTGTCACACGGAGGGAGGCTCAGCTTGTGCGTGGAGGAGAAGCAGCAGCCGCTCCCTAGAGAGGAGGGGATAAAGAAGAGGGGTGCGGGGGTGGGCTCCTGTGCCCCTGAGCAAGGAGCCCCTTTCCCGTAGCGATGTCTGGGTTGGAAGGGGAGCGCGAGCGCTTTCTCGGCAGTTCATAGGTGCGCGGACTGGAGGGTCTGCTCGCGTTTTAGGGCTGAGTTTGATACGCGAGTAACACGAGGGTTTTGGCTTCTTGCTCTAAGGGGTAAGGAAGAGGCGCCTGCTCCATCCTTGCATAGAAGAGCACGGTGATTCTGCCTCCCAAAGGTGTGCCTCGCTACGTGCCACGTCCCTTTGCCTTGGGAAGGGGCAGAGAGCAAACATTACCTGTTACCTCCGGGTCCCCGCAACGCTTAAGGCAAGGGCTAGCAGAAAGTGCCAGGTGGAGCTTGAAGATTACGTCTGTGTGCTGAGCCTCCTTTAGGGAGAGAGGAGTGGATAACTCTTCCTGAGAGGCAGAAGATGCCTGCTGGATACGCGGCCTGACGATATTGCAGCACATGACTGCATTCCTTTCTTGTCCCACTGGAGTAGTAGTAAATTTAACAGCCAAATCTTTCTGCTTAGTGTGTGAGACAGGGAGGCTGGATCACCCAAATTAGACATTTAGAAGCTCAGCTTAGCTGCGTTTACTCTTAGCTATGCAATTGCCTTGTCTTCTCGGTTTGGCTTACCATTAGGAATGATTGGGACTTGAAAGCTTGAAATGTCAGTGTGTAACTATTAGTTCGGCTGCTACTTTACAAAGCTCTGCTTGTTCATAACCATTTAAAACTCTTTAGTTGCCTAATTCTTTTCCTCCTTGGAGGCTTGCCACTATGACTGTAGCATAAAGGTTGAGAAACCTACTATGGGAATTTATGCTCCAAGGGAGAGAAGGCTCTTGGGAAGCTCTGTAGTCAAACTGAGTCTAAGCTCTTCCTTTCCAGAAGAAATGTGTTCTGAAAGTGAAGCAATTGGTGCATCTAGGTAAAACCATTATATCCCTGTAATGCCAGGAGGGAAAGGGATCAGCTGTTACCTGCCATAAAGCATCAATTTGTAGTGGATCCCAAAGCCCGCCCAGAAATCCTTTTAACCTACACAGTGATCATTACATACCTGGAGTTCTTGATGGTACTGCCTTATGCTTGTATTTCTGTTCAATGCAGGGAATCTATTTTGCATGACTAATAAAAATCAAGCCCTGCAGTCCACTGCTCCATAGCTTCCCATGGTGAAATGAAGACTATAAAATCATGTGTCTTCCAGAGGTTGTGAGGAGAAAAATGGTAATGGTTCCTAGGAGCCTTCAGAGTTCCTTATTGGAAATAGCAGCTAATTCTGGTCAAATCTATAAGGGTGAAAAAATAGTGAAACTGACTTTGTTGCTCTTCAAACATTGTCCTCGTACTGTGAGCTTTGGGTAGCTGTAAGCTAAGTAGTTCGTACAATGCAGTTCCTCATTGCTGATTTCTGTGTTGAGAGTTCTCAGTATTTTAGATAGCCCATATTGCCCATGTTGTACAGAATGTTGACTCTGGTTTTCTTTATGTCTGCTTAAAGTATGGCAGCTGCCAGTAAATTGAGATCTGCTTTTGTTTTGATGGCGTGTTGAGCTGGGCAGGAAATGGCTGTGCAGTTTATAGGAGAATTCGCAATAAAACCTCTCTGCGCTTGTGTAAATCAGAGTTACTGAGGTGCAGGCTGAAGTTTTCATCTTCCAGTCTAATTAAGGTGGAGTTAGAGGCTGCAGTGGGTCTGTGAGTGAAGAAATGCTCGTATCATATGCCTATTTTCTTGAGGGATTTGGCCCTGAAATGATGGTTCCTGTTACACTGAGGAAGGGAAATCACGTCCTAAAGGACAACTGCCTCTCTTGGTAAAAATAACTTCAGATGAAGAAGTATAAAGACAAGCCAGATGGGTTTGGTTTGTTGTGTTGTTTTTTTTTTTTTATTGTTGTCATAGAGGTATCTGCTAGCTGACTGCAGAGGGGTTTTTGGGCATCCTCAGGTTCAATAGTTCCAGCCTCTCTTCCTTGGTTCTGACAGGCGTTCATGGGTTTTGTACTTGCTAATCGACTTCCAGCTTGTAAATGAATATGCTGTTTGTCTGCTTGTTCGTGAAGCCATTCTGAAAAGCTGAGTTCTTAATCCTAAACCCCTAGATGATAGGAGGCTATCTTATAAAGAATGATACTTACAGCAGTCAGAAAGATTTTTCTTCTGTTTCTGGCTTTAATTTTCCTTTTTGTGCAGGCTAATTTTGAATTGAGGACATTTCGGATGTGGTACAGAATTGAGCGTTTCAATGAAATCTCTGTCCAGGCTCATTCTTCTTCTTTAAATGGTGTCTGCTGTTTCAGTCAGTGTTTTTTATCTTTCAGAGTAACAGTGAAAGGTGGGGGGTTGGAGGGGAAGGTTTTAAGAAGCAGCAGAATTAAAGCTAGAACATAGAATTGTGATGCTAAAATCTGAAGTTTAAAAGCTGCAAGGAGTTTTTGTACTGCTCGTTACCTTCAAAACGGTGATGTATCAGTGTAGGCGATTTTTGCCTTATTTAATCTTTAGAGTGCTTGAAACAAATGTGTCAGAAAATTAAGCAATCAGAAGGCATGTAAATATATTCTAGGAGAGATGCTAAAGGCTTTCTGCAGAAGTTCCTGGGTACCTAGTTGTTCCTGTATTTACATGTTCAGGGGAAACATTATGGTGGTGGAAAATAACGTATTGCTTTAATAAAGTGGATTAGGTCTGTGTTCTTTGGCCTTTGGGTTTGCTCTTCTGGAGCACTGTTGGGTGTTTCTGGCTCCGCAGCAAAGGGATGGCCATTAAGTCATCAAGGTCTTGTCCTCAAGGTCATGCTGTGAATCTCTTTAGAAAAGCTGATGTGTTGAGTTATTCTTCACTATGGCTGCACACTCGGAAGTGTCCTTTATCAGTGTATGTACCGCTCTGCAGATGATATGAATAGGAGGTCCTTTTTCCACAGGGTGTGTAACAGATTTGGCTAGCATCATGGCTTTAAATGGGGATGATAGTATCAAGGTACTGAAATGTTTCTGTTGGCAGCAAGAGTATTAGCTTAGGAGCTTTTTATCCTTCATGGTTGTATGTTTTTGCTCACTAGTATGTGTGTATCAGTGTGCTCATGTAATACAGATTCACTTTTGTGTAGTTTCATATTTTTTTTTCAACAAGTAAAAACATACATAGGAATAGCAAAAAGCTAGAGAAATACAGGTATTCTTTTTGTCTCTTGAATCTCTGCTGTCTGCTTCAGAGGCTGCTGTGCATCCTCAGCCAAAATGTTTAATGATGTATCCTGCAGCATGTAAACCACAGATGAGTTAGTTCGTGGGGTAGTGGTTTATGTCTGGGCTAATGTGAGTATTTATGTGATTCAACAGAGATACTACTTTGTATCTGTGTAGTGAGGCTGGAGATCCTCACTCTACATGACGCCTGCTGTTATGGGAATGTTGCATTTAAACTTGAAGAGATGCTAAGCTTGAGCATCTCTTTGGATTGCTGGCTAAAAGCATTGTAGCAAATCAGCTGCCTTTCATTGCATGTGTTTTCATGTAATATGATGCATGCTTTATGGAGTCACCCTGTAGCTTGTTGTAGTAGTAATTTGTGCTCTATAAATTAACCCGTGAGCATGATGGAAGTGTATAAATCACATAGGTGATTGTGTGGTGCCCTCTGCTGCCAGACGGCTGGAGTGAAGTAGGATGTACCTGATCGCTGGTATGTTCTGAATGAGAAACCAACTGCAAGCATGTGATGGAAAAATGGTTTGTCAGAATGCCTCTTTTGGAAAGTTTTGGGTTGTAAAATGACTTTAGTGTAATTAAGCTTAAAGTTTCCAGCTGGTCTTGCTGAAAACAACAGCCGAAATGATGAGCTGAGCGGGGAGCGATGCCGTGCTGCGGTCCAGGCTGCTGCTGCCGCGTCCTCCTCAGCAGAGGAGGATGATTGGCTTTGCCATTCTGACCTGGGGGCAGCTATGAAGCTGTCAAGGATTGTCAGCTTCATGTTGTGGTTGGCAAAAGCTAATAAGGAAGAGGGTGGTTTAGCAGACTCTGCGCTGCCAACGCTGGGGAGGGAAGAGAAAGGCTCGGGAAAGTGAGAGGAAAAGCTCGCAGCTCTCTGCCAGCCAGAAGTAAATAGAACAACAGCCAATTTGCCATACTTGATAGGCAGATTTCTTTAGTAGTGAGGCTGGTTGTGCCCTGAACCTTGCAGCTGCCATAGGACTCTGGGGCCTGCCTCCTTGCAGACCTATTGGAGCAGCTGTGTAGAAAAGCAAACTTTGAAAAGCTTGTTTTGGTAAGCATGGTGTAAAACAATGGGTACCTGAGGACTAGAAGTGCAAGTGCTAGAGCTGAATGAGCTTGTTCTGAATAAAGAGTGACTGATTTCCAGTATGGGCTACTCTGAAGTTGATCACTTCAGTGCTCTTGTGAAATGAGCAGGTTTTCCTTGGCAAGATAAGCATGGACTCACTTCTGATTAGCAAAGTGAGCTGAAGTGAATGTGAAGTGGCCAAAATCATCTCACAGCTGTGAAGTGCAAAGGAGAACTTGGAAAATATGTTTCTAATAAACTGGAGCTTTCAGTGGTCTTCACTCAGTGTCTTGTTATTCCTTCTGGTGATTTTCACTGTGATGGCAACACAGTGAACAAATGGTCTGTGTTCTGAGTCTCCAGTGCTGTGTGAAAGTAAAAGGTTTATTATACTTGTTGTTCTTTAGGGGAGGTTAACTCTATCATGAAGCAGGTGGCTCTGATGTTCAAACCTGCTCCATATGCAGCTCTTAATAGCTGCAATGGTTCCCTTTCTTTCTGGAATGAAGATTGGAGCAGC